CTCGTAACTCAGGATTGTGCAGATTACACTTATGGAAGCAAATTTCGAGGAGGATAATGCATCCCTCGGCTTGTTTTGTGCAGGTGCGAAACGAAAAACATCCGTCTTTTGAAATAAGACATTTAGAAAGGTAAAGTGAGTTAAACACCTTAGATATTATTTATTATACTAAAAGGCCATTTTATTGTGCAAATAAGTGAAAAGTATTTCACTTCTCGAAATTTAATGAAATCTTCTGACCTTCACTTGCTTCTGTATTGGAGAATATGACGTCAGAATATGGCTGACATCTAGCGGAATAGGGCCAAAAAATGCACTTTAACAACTCGCATAAAAAGTTGCTACAATAAACTTCGATGAAACTTGACAATTATATTTCTTATTAAAAAAAGTCACATTTTACGGACTTTGCTAAGATGCGTTATTTCTAATAAAGGAGAAATCTCAAATTGTTACAGTGTTGCTACGGCCCAAAATTGACCCATTGGCCGACTTCGTCGAGTTCTAACTCTTTCATTTCTGCTTCCTCGCAAGTGAATCGCACACGTCGAGACGCATAGTGAACTCTTCTACCACGTCTTGATTTTTCACAAGCACGTATGAGGGAAATTAAAGAAAATTCATGAATTTCTGCGATGGTTACGCATTTAACAAAATTTCGACCGCGACGTCATCTCAGCGCTCGCGCTCCGTTCTGAATATTTTCCTACGCGCAGCCAGTTGCCATATGACTGTAAAATGGAGTAAAGATGCCTGTACGCCTGTATGCGTGCTTCCGATTTTACATGCATATCAAAGATCTAAGTATACTTATTGCTGATATTTATCAACATCCCAAGTCAGCTTTTGTTCTCAGACCTCTGGCAGATAACTTAGCGTGAGAAGCAGCCGAAAGATGTATGGGACATTGCCATTATTCACTCCTGTTCGAGTATATTTGTGCAGTGCCTATGAACTAACGATATATTTTCCAACCAATGTACTCAAACTACAATAACAATTTACAAACAGATTCTCACAATACAGGCCCGTAGCCGGGGGGGGGGGGGGGG